GTGCCCCTGCTGTGACAATGGATGCTCTGTTGCCTAATTGCTTGGGGGGGAAGCAGAGAAGGATGAGCTCAGACTTTGGAAAAAGGTCTCTTCTGGGCCTGTGGGCAAAAACAAAGATGAATTTCTGCCATAACAGTCTTACAATCTAAAAATTAAAACCTAGAATGTTGTAACTCTAAATGCAAATAAAGTAAGGTGTGTTAAGAAATGTATTTAAGACAGATATGTTAAAGGTCTTGAAAAATTTCATGTCCAAAAAAAATGGCTATCTTTGAAAAAATGGTGCAATAGGAAGAAAAAAAGCTTAAAGGTCTGAGAGAGATATCTTAAAAAATGCTATGTCGGGCCTCCCTGGTGGTGCAGCATTGAGCGCTGGGTTGCGAAGCTGCCCGCAGCCTCTGCAGCGCCGGTTCGATCCCCTGCAGCTCCCCGGCCACCAGAGGAGGGCCTCTCCTGCTGCCCGCTGCTCCCCTCAGCAGTGTGCTTCAGTCCTTCTGCCTGCTCTGCTCCCTGCTCTGGCTCTGGTGAATTCTGTCACCCTCCCGCACTTCTGACTGTACCCAGTGCTTGTATAAATAAATAAATAAATAAATCTTAAAAAAAAAAATTCTGTGGTAGTTGGTTGAAAGTTAGAATACATAAATAAAATAATATTATAAAAAAAAATGCTATGTGACAGAATGACTTGCTTTAAAAATATTTAAGTATAGGGCCTCCCCGGTGGCGCAGTGGTTGAGCGCTGGGTTGCGAAGCTGCCCGCAGCCTCTGCAGCGCCGGTTCGATCCCCGGCCACCTGGCGAGGGTCCCACATGGCGCGCAGACCTCTCCTGCCGCCCGCTACTCCCCTCAGCAGTGTACTTCGGTCCTTCTGCCTGCTCTGCTCCCCGCTCTGGCTCTGGTGAATTCTCTCACCCTCCCGCGCTTCTGACTGTACCCAGGGCTTGTATAAATAAATAAATAAATATTTAAAAAAAAAAAAAATTTAAGTATAGGGCCTCCCTGGTGGTGCAGCGGTTGAGCACTGGGTTGCAAAGCTGCCGCAGCCTCTGCAGCACCAGTTCGATCCCCGGCTGCTACCTGGCCACTGGAGGAGGCTCCTGCATGGCGCGCAGACCTCTCCTGCTGCCCGCTGCTCCCCTCAGCAGTGTACTTCGGTCCTTCTGCCTGCTCTGCTCCCCGCTCTGGCTCTGGTGAATTCTCTCACCCTCCCGCGCTTCTGACTGTACCCTGTGCTTGTATAAATAAATAAATAAATCTTAAAAAAAATATTTAAGTTTATTATCAGTAGTGTACTTATGAACAACCAAACTTGAATTTCTTTTTCATTTGCAGTAAAGACTCAAGTATTCTTAAACTGCTTTTACTGGTTCTTGGGGGAAAAAAAACTGTCTAGGGTATCTAAAATCTTGGTTCTCATTTAACCTCAGACATGGATAACTAAAAAATATAGTTGTGTCAGCATTGTCGAGCACTGTAAAAATAGAACTACTTAAAAAAACCCACCAGTTATCACTCTGAGTAATTTAGTGTTGTTTTATAGAAATCTGTATATATTTATTAAGCCTGTGACAAAATTTTTCTTAAATTCAAATTTCAAAAATAGTAAAGTTTTTGATTAGTAAAACAATTTGATGTGTCTTAGTACTCTTAATAAATTATTTCTCCTTGTAGGAAAATGCTAAACTACACTGGACCAATCTAGATATGTTAAAATTTCATAGAAAAAAAAATTGTCATTGAGGGGGAAAGTTATACCTTTTCAGCATATATAAAAGAAAGTTGATTAAAGTGTTCTAAAATATGAGATTTTTAAAATGTTCTGGCATTATATTATTGGACAATTCTGATTATTCTGAAATATATATGTGTGTGTGTGTGTGCACCTCACAAAATTGAGCAAACATTCTTGTCTTTTGCCTTAAGCCATAATTTTAGGTATGGTCATTTTCAAGTTTTTGCTGTTTCTAAAGGTTACTTGCTGAGCTTTGTCTTCAGAAAATTCACAAAAAAAGACTGACAATATAGATGTGTTTTGGAACTGAAAAGACCTACCACACGTATAAAAAAAGTGGATTTATAAAAATTACCAACAGAGGATCGAGACTTAATATATGGAAAAAGTAGACTGAGGAGGATTTGTGTAATATTTAATGACTTTTTAAAAATATTGGTCTTTAATATATATTTTTTTTTTATCTCTAGAAAACTTGTTTTTAAACTGGGCTATGATCTTAGCAGTGGCAATTTGCATCTTTTCATGAGCAAACTGGAACATTTGCTTTTCTCTTATCACCAAAATGTGTAGGCAATATTTGTTCTTCTCAGGACAATGTCTATCTTTGCATAATCTCAATAGGAAATTTTATTTATTTCTCCTTAAACTAGAAAATTAAAAACATGTTTTGTTACAAAGCTTTGATTGAAATTCTTCTGGGAGTAAAATTTGAGCTGAGCTGAGAAGAGCGAGCCAAGAAGAGCCTGTCACCTGCTTACTGGGTTCCACAGACCTCCATGAAAGGTGAGGAAATCTCAGGTCAAGTCTGGTAAGACTGACTTATATAAAGCCTGCATGGTCTGGATATTAAAAAGCTCACTCCCTGTGGAGTTTTCAACAAAGCCTACAACATTCTGCTTGGTTATTCTGTCCTATGAGTGTATGCAAATATCGGTAAAATTGTTTAAAATTAGATTTGGTTTACTATTTTACAAAATTGGGATGAGGGTAAAAAAAAAAATTATGTTTCAGTAACTATATTAGTCTCTGTCCTCTTCAGTGAGGGCTGTATCCTAAATGTCATCATCTTGAGGAAGGAAAAAAATAATCCCATGTACATTTAGGACTATGATATGTTGTATACCTTATTGCTGCCACACCACCATCAAAGCCTTAACATCATGTCGGGAACTGTGGCACCAGCTAGTGCAGGCCTTCCATAGTAACCCCCCACCCCCACCACCAGGAACCCATTCAGCAGGAAGCAGCCAGAAGATGTAACACCCCTTTCTCCCGCAGAAATGCAAGGTCATAACAGAGAGTGGGGATCATGACGCAGTCACAAATGACTGGTCTCTTAGATAAGCATTAACAAGTTTGTCTTTCCTGTATTTCTTGCAATTCCCGCCTTGTTTGATATAAGTGATGCCCTGTGAGAAACCCACAAGGGCATTAAAGAGGGGAATGATGGCCAAGGAGAAGGGAGTTAAACAGCAGAGCCAGCTGGCGCCCACCCATCTCTGTGCTGACCCCTCCCACTCCCCTTTGCAGACCCTTACCCATCCTCTTTTTTTTCCTTTGTAAAAGTCTCAGGTTCCACCGCCTTGGGTGCATCACTCGAAAGTGAAACCAGAAGAGCCCCTGATCCAGAGAATCCCCTTCGCTTGAGGCTACAAATGGATCAACCCATCAAGGCGGCCTTAGACATCAAGCCCTGCTCTGGCCACACTCTGGAAACTGGTCGGTCTATGCAGGGCAGAAGCATGAAGACCTTCTACATGTGTGACCTCTTGCTTGTAATTTTTACTGTTCTTGTAGTGACTGTCTTGCAGTGGCCTAGCCACAGTGGCCCCTGACCACTGGGATAGGGAGGCACGCCCTCTTGCCTTAGGTTACCCGAAACTGTGTGTGGATGTAACTGTTTACAGATGTTTGCTAAAATAAGCCTGCTGGCCAGTATCCTCCTACACTTGCCCCTCACCCTCTCTGACCCAGGTTTGTCCCTCCAAAGATATCACTAGGTCCTGTGTCTCTGCGGGAAATGCTACAAACCCTTTGACTCCCACTTTTAAGATCTGTGCTACACAGATGGCACTTACCTGCCTGTGCTCAGGGAGTGTATCAATGTGCTACTTCACACAAACAATCATGCTTTGTTGTAAATGTATGCTTACAAATTTCATATGTAAGCTCCAGTTGTTCCTCATCCCCTACCGGCCTATTGATACTGAGCTGGACACCTTGGAGGATGATGCCTTACGATATAACAACAAAGGCAGAAAAGGGGGGTAAATGAAAAGGAACTTCAGGGCCTTCCTGGCGGCACAGGCGGTTGAGCAGAGGGCTGTGAAGTTATCCACAGCCTCTGCAGTGCTAGTTCGATCCCTGCCAGCCTCAGCCTCCAGCAAGCCATATGACGAGCAGACTTCTCCTATCTGGCCCGCTGCTCCCCTCAGCAGTGTGTTTCATCAGTCTGCCTGTTCTGTTCCCCTCTCTGTCTCTGATGAATCAATCCTCTTACCCTCCCACACATCTGGCCTGTACCCCGGCTCTTGCATAAATAAAATAAATCTTAAAAAAAAAGAAAAGGAACTGCTAAGCAAATAAATCTTTCCTGCTAAAGGGTCTGAGGCCTGGTGCATAAATAATCCAATGCATTGTAAATAATAAGTTTGCTTACTTGATAAACCTTTCCTTAGCAACCTTTCCATCTAAGTTTTAGCTTATCTAAACGAGGTTATAGTTTAACAAGGTCTGACAGCTGGTCAAGCTGATTTTTCTCTCGAAGGACGTCCCCAAATGTCCATCTTTCCCCCTTTGTTTAGGAGTTTTACAGCAAATAGTTGTGCTCGCTAACCACTGTTGTCAGTGTAAGATGGTTGTGTATAAAAGAAACCCTTTGTCTCTAGACAGGTGCTCAGACCTTATGGAACTGCCCAGGTCTGAGACCTCACACATGAGTAATAAAGCTTCTCCTGACTTTCACCATTTCTGAAGTACCACTTGTTCTTGCCTTGCCTGGGTAAAAGGCTAGAATTTATTTCTGCAACAAAACCAAACTTTAATTTTCATCCGTAACAAGGACTAGTTTTGATGACAAAATCCCGCTACGGAGACTCACCCCAGCACCAGCTCCTACGTCTCCCCACAGCCCCAGGGCGCGGGCGGGGACCTGGGCCGCCGCATCCGCCCGTGCTTTCCGCGCTCCCGGCTGCCCTAGGCTGTTTGCGGGTCTCTCCGCGGGGTCCCTGCCCTGCCTTGCGATTCCCTGGTGCCTTTTGCTCACCTCGGGGGTAGTTCCCGCTGGTTTCCACAGTTGCGAGGAGCGGTACCTGCAGTCCGCAGTTCCTTTGCACTCCCTCTCCTGCTGGATCTCTAGTTCTTTTTTTTTCTCCCTTGTGTAGGGCGGGGTGAGCCGGTTTTGTGGATGGGGGAGGGCGCAGGGATTGGCTGCTTTCCTTTCTTCTCCTGTTATTGTGTAACAGGGTGGTCCCCAGGAAAGGGGGAGGTTCCAGGTTTCCTGCCCCACCCAAGGGAGGGTGGAGCTGAGCAGGGAGAGAAGAGGATGCAGAGGAGACGGAGGAAGGAAGGAAGCAGGATGGAGCCAGAAGGAGACCTGGAGGAGGCTCATGGAGCCGAGAGACACTTGTAGAAACTGCACTTGCCTTTTGGTCCTGGACTGGGTGACACAGATGTGGGTGAGACCCGAGGGGAGGTGACAATGGTGGTTTTTGTCTTGATTTTGCTCTTTTCCTTCCGGGCTTGTCTGGTTGTTTCTAACCCTTTTTTGTGGGTCCCCCCTGGAAGATGCTTTAGACTTGTGGCAGGCTTTGGGGCCTTGCTCTGGGCCAATCCCATTTGGATGGAGTTTTACCCACGAGAGGACGGATAACTTTGGGTGCTTGATTTAGAAACTAGATTCTTTGTCTTTCCTGTATTGTTTACTAGTTTTATTAAAGTTCCTTCCCATTAAAGTCTCATATGTTTTGTATTGATGCGGCGGATGGCAGAACCTATGTAGAACATGCAGGTTTGCGGGGTCTGGGCTGCCCCTCTCCCTGCCCTGTAACAATTGTACCTTTCCTCTCCTGGCAGTTTGCCAGCGTGGCCACTTTACCTTATCTGCCCGGTTCTCCAGCCATGTTGATACGCTGGCTGTTCCCGAAATCCAAAGGCTGAGTCATATCCGCTTCCCAGGAGGGGCCAGAAAAGGAAGCAGGTGGATCTTGTGGACTCAATGGAGCATCACCTCGACCCTCCTGGGGTGACTTTAAAAAGTTAACTGAGTGAAGCACAAAATACTTTAAAGGTCATGGGGACGCCTGAGACCCCAGAAAATCTGTTCTCAATGTTAGCTCACATCACCATAATTTCTAAAGACCTTAGTGATGGAGGGCAGGAATAGAAAAAAACTGAAAAGGAGGCACCATAAGACCGGAAGCCTGGCTCACACAGGAGGTGGGGGTAGGCGAGGTTGTAACAGGGTGGTCCCCAGGAAAGGGGGAGGTTCCCTACCCCACCCAAGGGAGGGTGGAGCTGAGCAGGGAGAGGAGAAGCTACAGAAGAAACTGAGGAAGGAAGGAAGCAGGATGGAGCCAGGAGACCTGGAGGAGGCGCATGGAGCCGAGAGACACGTGAAGAAACTGCGCTTGTCTTTTGGTCGTGGACTGGGTGACACAGATGTGGGTGAGACCTGTGGGGAGGTGACAATGGCAGCTTTTATCTTGATGTTGATTTTGCTCTTTTCCTTCCGGGCTTGTCTGGTAGTTTGTGACCCTTTTCTGTGGGTCCCCACTGGAAGATGCTTTAGACTTGTGGCAGGCTTTGGGGCCTTGCTCTGGGCCATTCCCATATGGATTGAGTTTTACCCACGAGGGGATGGGTAACTTTGGGTGCTTCATTTGGAAACTAGACTCTTTGCCTTACCTGTATTATTTCCTAGTTTTATTAAAGTTCATTCCCATTAAAGTCTCATATGTTTTGTGTTGATGCGACGGATGGCAGAACCCATTTAAAACAGGCAGGTTTGCAGGGTTTTGAGCTGCCCCTCTCCCTGTCCTATAACAAGATTAGCATAGCCATCCACACAGCCATGGAAACCAAGATACTTGGGGCAGGGGACACCTAGATTACAAAGAATATCATCCAAGCAGGTATGAGAGTGCACATCCAAAGGTAAAGATATGGAGATGAGCCCATTGTGGAGTCTCTGGCACCTTCCAGATTCTGCAGTTATCCGAAATCAGCAACTCATCAGAAAGCTCACTATTGTAGCGTCTCCCCGAGACTAAGACCCAAGTCTGAAGCAGATTAAAAAAAAGCCTTAATTAGTCTGCCAGCGACTGTCCCTCTTGTAGGGAGCAGCCCCAGCAGGGGGTGATAATGATGGGGTTTTTGGAGTTGCGGGGTCCTGGGGTTCACTCTGGGAAAGGTTTCACCAGAGCTCCAGTTTCAGCGCCACGCAGCGAGTTCCCCAGGTGAGTTTCTCCACGAGACAGAGAAGTTAATTATATTTAAAGAACAGGTTTATAAGGGAAAGGGAAAGGGACAGGTTTGCTGAGAGAGGCCTGTGGGGTCACAGGCAGGCAGCCTTGAGGAGAGCGGCCCCTGCTGAGGGAGGTCAGTGAGGAGAAACTCTGGCAGATACAGGTCATGGGCAGGCAGGAGGCTGCTGCCCTGCGGGTGGGGGGGCGGGGAGAGTTGGTGAAAAGAGGCACCTGCATAGTCACAGGTGGGCAGAGGGAGTGCTGCCCCAGCCTGTGCAGAGACTGCACTGATACAGTCCTCTTCTGTTTGGGAGTGGCGGGGGGCGCGGGGGGGGGGGGTGTCACTCCTTGTGAGCCGTCAGTTGGTTGCTGATTTTGGATAACCACGCAGAATCCAAAAGGGACCAGAGACACCAGGATGGGGAGTGGAGATTCCAGGATGGGCCCAATCTCTGTATCTTTCCCCTCAGGGCTGTGTTCTACTCCCTGTAGCATCTGATCCTGCTTGGGTCTCCTGCCTTGTGATAAGGCCCTGGTGCCTAAGGGCCCGACCTCTACAGCTGGGTTAATGGTCATGTTATTCACCTCAACCCCCACCTCCTTGTGAGTCAGGTTCTGGTCTTGGGGCACCTCTTTTCCAGTCTTTCTATTTTTGTCCTCTGTCATTTCCCTCCCTCCCCCCCACCATATGTGGCCCAAAATCTTTTGTTAGGGCAACACCTGCCAGAGGAGCCCTGAGGTGCTGGAGTGATGCAGATAGCCAGGGACTCGGCAGGAGGGCTGGCTTGTGTGTGTGCAGAGCTGCAAGCCCAGTGAAAACTACTAGTTATTTAGCTTTGTTAGGGACACCAAGTGTCATGAGCATGATCACTGTGAGGCTAGTCAGGAAAGTGGGTGAGCTTTAAAGTTAAGTTTGAGTGAGGACCGCAGCCCACTTTTTTAATGTTTAGATTTTGCCTGAGTATGATGACTTCATGGTTTTATATCCTCCAATTCTGAGGCAGAGCAGGTTTTAGAAAGATGGTGTCAGACCCTTTTCGGGCTCCAGGTGAGGACAATTCCATGTGTTCAGGAGCACCAGTCATATAAAGGGGAGTCTGCTAGGAGCAAACTTATATAAAACAGATATAGAAAGTGCTAGTTCTATCTGTAGGTCAAAGAGGACCAGAAATTAAGTTACTCAAACATGTGTTTTATCCTGTTAATAGACACATGTTTTCCTTGGGCGGCAGTAAGCAGATTTAGTGATCTTTGATTGTGTTCAGGCCATTCCTATTATATTCTTTGAGGAAGGGAAGGTGGGTCCAGAATGCTGGGTGAGTACAGAGTAAGTGGCTCCTGTATCTATCAGAAAATTAATACTCTTACCTATGACATCCAGGGTTGCCCCAGGCTTAGCCATGGAGATGGTCAGCTGGGGAGCTGTCGATGTCCTTTTGCCCTGTCACTTTCCATCCAGGAGGCGTCACTTGTCCAGAAGGCATCAGTCATCAACCAGGAGGCTTAGGGTGGCAGCTGAGGGTCTGGTCCCTCCTCCCTTCGGAGAACAGGACAATCCCTTTTCCAGTGGCCGTCCTTCTTGTACCTGGGGCACGGCGCAGGTGGATTTTTGGGTTGTGTGAATTCCTGCTCCAGTCCCAGCAGTGTGGGGCCATTGAAACTCCTCCACTCTTTATTCCCGGCAGGTCAGTCTTCTGTTTCTGACCCTGGGTAAGCCTGCAGGCCGCTGGCAATGGCAGTACCTATATTAATGGAGCCTGCCTTTACTCACTCACCACGGCCTTCTTGCCTTTTTTTTTTTTTTAACCCTTTACTTTGTTCCCTATTATTAAAGATATTAAAAGCCACTTTTTTTTTTTTAAAGATTTATTTATTTATACAAGAACCGGGGTACAGGCCAGATGTGCAGGAAGGTGAGAAAATTCACCAGAGACAGAGCGGGAAACAGAACAGGCAGACTGAAGAAATATACTGCTGAGGCTGCTCCCTTCAGCAGTGTGTTTCGGTCATTCTTCCTATTCTGCTTCCCACTCTATCTCTGGTGAATCCTTTCACCCTCCTGTGCCTCTGGCCTGTACCTCAGCTATTGTATAAATTTAAAAAAAAATTATCTTTGAAAAAATTGTTTATAATTGATTGGCTTATTAGGTTTTAAGAGGTCTTATGTATTTTAGAACAATCTCATTAGTTTACATTTATGTTGAAAAGGTGTAACAATCCTATGAGAATACTTTCTGTGAGGTATCAATATACCCAAATTAATTCAGTTTGTTTTTCACAATGAAAAATCAATTTTATTAGGTGACTGAAGAGTCCTCTTAAGGCAAAAACTTTACTATTTTAGAATTAAATTGTCGGGCCTCCCCGGTGGCGCAGCGGTTGAGCGCTGGGTTGCGAAACTGCGCGCGGCCTCTGCGGCGCCGGTTCGATCCCCAGCTGCTCCCGGCCACCGGAGGAGGGTCCCACATGGCGCGCAGACCTCTCCTGCCGCCCGCTGCTCCCCTCAGCAGTGTACTTCGGTCCTTCTGCCTGCTCTGCTCTCCGCTCTGGCTCTGGTGAATTCTCTCACCCTCCCGCGCTTCTGACTGTACCCAGTGCATGTATAAACAAAAACAAAGCAAACAAACAAATAAATAAAACATGCCTCTATTTAAAAAAATAAATAAATAAATAAATAAATAGATAAATAAATAAATAAAAGAATTAAATTGTCATAGAACTTACAGATCTTTACAAAACAATTGCTCAGTGACAGGATTTTTTAAGAATATAGATCTATTTTTTTTTGACAAGGCTCAGAAATGCTGACATAAGGTTTTTTTCCCAGGTAACCCAAGGGTAAAAAAGCACCAGGATTTTTAGATTACCTGAGCAGTCTTCCACTTGTTATAAGAAACTAGTGAAAGTAATTTTAGAATACCTTAATATATATATATATATATATAAAGAACTAAAGCTTGATGTTACATGCATGTATTACTGACACCCAAATTAACCAAAACATTTCATAGTAAGTCACCTGAGCACACAAAATTCTCCACCAAAATCTGTCTCAGACCTTCAACACTTTCCTTTGCTTTCTTTGTTTTTAATACCATTTGATTTACCATCCTACTTTGAATTAGCTTAAGGACCTTCAGAATATCCACCTTTAATAATACATTTTTTCCAAACACACACACAGACCTTACC